GTTAAAGGTTATTATCAAATAGCTTACGTGTCTTAAGCAGACAATTACTTTTGGATGCTGACACGGCCAGATGTTTAGATATGCAGTCTTAACCCTTTGAGGGTCGACCAGGCCCTCTCCGACAACTCGTGGGGGGGGTTATCAGGGTCGCCAAATTTAAAAAAAAAAAAATTATTTTCTCTTATGAAAAGGATAGAGAATCTTTTTCCTGATCTCATTACGGACACCAAAAGTTTGAAATTTGATGAAAAATTACGGAATTATGCTACTCGCAAAGTTAGCGGTCTCTGACGATGTTTTACGCATCGGCGAATTTTGCCCAACTTTTGAGCCCCATTTTTCGGCCAATTTAACTGTAATTAGTCGACCACAAAAAAACATGGACATATTTCGCTAGAACTCAATTTCTTTCTATGATATTGGTGCAGAAACCCCCATTTTTAAATTCCAAATATCCAGTACAGTGGTCAGAATTTAGAAATTTTTGCCAATTTCACACAAATTTCCAAAAGATGCCAATTTCCGGAAAGTAGGAGTCCAGAATAAACAAAAGAAATTCCTGGCACTAAATTGACATTTCCCTTGTCATTATTCACGTCTCAGGCCCCTCTTATATTCTTTTGCTTTTCCTCACTTTTTGATTTTTATCTCACAAAAAATATTAAGATTTACTGTTATGCAGACTACTGCATTAGTGTAAATAATGTATAAATATTTTTGGCTGCAATTGTGAAAAGAATATTAGATCACCAAGTTTGACGATGTATTGACACGCTTGGCACGATTTGTTTACTTTGAAGTTTTGGGTAAAAATCGAACATTTCTGCATACTTTTGAGCTCAATTTAAAGGCACCTTTCATTGTTAAACCAGTCCTAAAATCATCTCATTTCTGTAATATGTCTTCAATCTAATAAAATTAGACCAAGAAAACTACAATAGAACATAAATACCATACGAAAATACACTGCAAAGTCGATTGATTTATTAAAAAAAAAAATGGTTTAAAAAATTTTTTTTTTTTCTCACTTATGCACTGTGCTGCAGGAATTTTTTTTAGCTGTGCTCACTGACCACATGTAGACCAATCTTTCATATGAAGGCCAACCAGCTTTCTCCACTGATTTGAGGCCGCGCTAGAATTAGAGTACTTGTACGTCAAAAACCCCTACTCGATAAGACGTACTAGTACGACGATAAACCCTCAAAGGTTATTTTCAAGCTTGAAGCCAACCCAAACTTCGTTTTATTCAGACTTACAGGCATTTAGAATCACTATTAGAATTAGTCTAGATCACACTCCTACGGTTGCTAAATATGACCTAAGGCAAAGTGATTGGTTGTTTATCAGCAGTATCTGTACAGAATTAAGTTGTCACCACAAACTATTGAACACAAATTATATAATTATGTTCAAAATTAAATCGCTATTTCACTGGAGGAAATTAGCAAGGTTACAAAACAATAGTTTCATGCATGCAAAGCAACAGGACTAAGATGAAAATTCCACAAATCCGTGGATGATAATCATTAAACTCAGTATAGAAAAGAGTATACATACCTCCAACTAAACAACAGAATGGGTAATCCCTTATGGGCATTTTATCAATGTTGTGTATTCAACAGACAGTTAACAAAACTGTCACACAATAAACGTACTCCAAATTGTGTACTTTGGGATGGAACACATTACGGCACAGTATTGTAGTTCAATATCACATCAATGGAGGCACGTATAGTGTTCATCACTGAAAATGTGCATCAAGAGTTTAGTGAACACAAGGAGGTAAATGCTCACTGAAGACGTGTTTTAAATGCAAGGGTATGCATCATACAGCATTATGCCCAAACTACTTATGCGCAACGCAGAAGACTTCCACCGATCAGGAAGTCAACAAGCAACAACATCTCATTAAATGTCGAGAGATAAGTTTTAAAAGCAAACTGTCTCCCGATAGCTCGAGTTGAGTTATCTAATAAATTATACAAAACAATGTGCTAACCTATTTGATCAAGGTACAAAGGTCCGTATTAAGAAGAACGGTGTTCAGCAAACTGAAATAAACAACCTTATCCAATGTACAGTTAGCATTTACTGAGTTTTTTCCACTAATTCTGGTAAACAGACATTTATGACCTAGCCAGAATTCACTGTGGTCTAGGAAACAGAAAAAGGACAGTAGAAGCTGTGGTAGTAGATGATTGCCTAAGACTGTGCAGACTCCAGGATAATTAAAAGAAAACAGTTTTTGCAGCACTGAAAGCAGCTAAGATCTAAGTTAGCTGTTCTGACATGCTGACGGACACAATTAGTCCAATTGAATTAATCATTGGAAGTGTTTATTATCACTGTTTGGTGCAAAATATAGTAAGTTAACATGAGTTCACTTGCTGGAAAACAGCAGGGGAGGGGCCCATGATATGTGGTCCCGTTCCCTCTCAAAGTGGGAGGAAAGAAGCTGATAGTGATCGTGGAAAATGTACTTTATGAGAATACAGCTGACTGATTCATTGTACCACTGCTAAAAATTATCATTTCTGGAAGAAATGAATGAACATGTTGATAAGTTGTGGGATTTAGATGCGATAGGTATTGATGTAAATAAACAAAAGCCCACAAGAAGTCTCAGACTTACTAAACCAATATTTGGACACTGTAAATATAAAGAAGGACCTGTATTGGGGTGAGGTTACCATGGAAATTAAATCCTACCCACATCTTGCCTAGCAATTATCGCATGGCTTTCGACAGATGAAAGCAACAAATACATTGAGTCAGGAAGAATCCAGAGCTATGACTCTCTATGATAAATATTACATACAAGAACAGTTGTCAATAAATTACATTGAGGAAGTAGTCCGATGATATGTTGAAGACAGAAGCTCATTACTGCCACACAATGGAGTCAAGAAAAGATTCTGAAACAACTCCACTACGTGTTGTATTTAATTTGCCCAGCGCACGTGCAAATAAAGATGTAGCCAAGTCTTAATGTCTGTATGATGACCGGACCCTAAAATGACTGAGAAGCTGGAGCCCGTGTCTTAAGAAATTTCGCCAAACCCTATGACTACACGGCTGATATTTCCAAAGCTTTATTTGAGTAGGATACAAGAAATAGACAAGAGATTATAACTCGATTCTTGTGGCTGAAAATCCACAATGTCCTCAAATCCTTGTGATAAATTCATCATTTCAAAATCGTATTATTGGTTTGCAAACATCCTCTCCTTTTAACTAGAAAGCTACTATAAATACAACATTTTGAAGAAATCTGAAAGTCCCTTCAAAGAAATCTTGAAGAAAAGTTTCTATGTGGACAATCTTCAAGGTAGTGTGAATAAAGAGGAGGATTTGAAAATCATTATACAGAGAAGATAAAAAGGAGACTTGAAAGAAGCAATATGCCTATAAGGATGTGGATTACAAAGTCATGCAATCTAAGGGAACTTATCAAGGGACGATCTTCCTGAAGCTGATAATTCCTGATTGAAAAAATATGCTGGGACTTAATTGAGAACTCACAAGGAAGATACTTTGAGTCTCAAAAAGACTACACAATAAATTCATGCTCGTTACACTCACTAAACCGTAGTTTACTGTCAGAAGGTATCACAATGTTTTGATCCTCTAGGACTCGTCTCACCAATTACCTTAAAGGGATTTCTAAAAGCTTATGCAATGATGCATGGAGTTCAAAATTGGATGGGATGAGAATTGCTCTAGAAATGAGTCAAGCATGGGATTGAAATATTCCACGGGAGGTTTAAGCAACTTCATCAAATTAATTCTCCCAGACAATAGGTCAAGAAAGGAAACAAGTAACATTACTGTGTTCTGTGATGCGTCAACCAGAGGTTATGGACGCTTGTTGCTTACATAAGTAATGCGAAAATTTGAAGTACACTAATTAACTTTAAGGCCCCAGGCACCTTGAAGGTCAGAACAGTACCACAATTGAACTGACAGCACTCTATGTAGGTACAAAATTAGCTGTCTATCTCAACAAATGTACTTGTTTCATCCTCACTATTGAAAAAAAACGTGAATCTGGAGTGGAAATGGAAGCAGTTCTCAGTGGTTAAGATATAACAAGAGTTAAGTTGGTCTATGTACAGATCAGAGTAGCAAAAATAAAAAGAGATGCAGAGAGATGATCTCTTTCTCCCACGTTCTCTAATCCAAGATAATCCAGTTGCGTATGTTGTCCACCGTGGTGTTCCCACTCCAAGAAATTTGTGGATTAATATAAATTTATGGCTCCACGGGGACCAAACTGGCTCCTCTAATGAAAATAACTGGCCCTCAGCAATAAGTTAACATTATGCCAGAAGAAAGAGTCTGCTTGAACACAGCAGAAGTTAAGTTGTGTAAATATGCAGACACAACAGAAAGGAGTCATTGATGGATCTAAATAATATCTTTGTGTAAATCATCTTGAGAGTTACAGCTCTTGTCTTTTAATTCATTAAAGGATTAAAACTGATTATGAACGTCTGAACCCACATTAAATACTGGGTGAAACTAATAAGAAAGATGTTTTCTCTACTGAATATAAATTTTTGGGTAAACACAAGATAAATCCCCAAGAATACCTGTCATGATTAATTCTTTAGGACTTTATTCCGACCTCACAGTAAAGATTATAAGATGTCGAGGCAAGAATTCTTAATTCTCACTACATAATGAGTCCATACATCCAATATTGATCCCCAAGAATCAATGGCTAACAAAACTGATTGTGCAAAACGGCCACAGTAAGTGTTACATGGTGGGGCAGCTGACACACTTTGTTCATATACGACAATCCTACTGGATACCTAAAGGTCGACAACAGTGTGAAATAAAAAAAATTAAGGGACTGTATTAATTGTCGTCACTCGATATGCTAGTATGTCAGTTTCCAGGTCCACCTCACATATCCCCTCTGAAAGAGTTTTGTCATGTCACTCCATTGAGCGGTGACAGGTGTAGATTAACACAGGATCAATAATTTTTACCAAAAAGTTGACAAAGTTCCCATCAAGGTTTTGTACTATTGTTTGTTTCACTTGTGCTACGCTAGAGCAGTACATCTTAGAAGTAGCCATTGACATGTCTGCATGAAACCTTTATTCAATTATTCAGACAGTTTGCAGCCAGAAGCATGTCCAGGACTGATGAATTTTCAGACAATAGCAATGAACTTTTGTTGCTGGTGCTGCTTTTATATGCAAGATATTTGATCAACCAGATAAGTTCAACAGATGCTTGAATCATCGCAGTTGTCGTTTGGAGCATACATTCTCCTAAAATCTCATGGCACGGCGGATTTTATGAAAGATATGATCGGCATTGTAAAACATTGTTTAAGGAAGATCTTCATCGTTCTCTAAGAATCGACTTAGAAGATTTTCCGTACAGTTGTGAATCTGAAATAGAAAATAGATCAACAACAGACCTCCTAAATTATGTTACCGTTGATCTGGACAATTTAGAAGTGTTAAGTCCATCTAATTTACTCATGGCAGGTAGGCTCGGAACCTTTCCTCCCATGAATGATAAAGAATCATAGAGGTATCCTACATATTTCGAACCTGGAACAACTCAGACGTAAATTCAAAACACCTTAATAAAGTGATTGAACGTTGGGAGAAATTTGGGCAGAAGACTATACTCCACCTCTTGAGAGAACACTTCTATGGAGCTGGTGTTCCTGAAAATCATAAGTCCTTAAGACCTGGTGTCATACGTGATTATTGACAATGATGGTCCGAGGTCCCAATGGCCACTTGGAAAAATTGTGACCATATATCCTGGATTACAATTGGAATCATAGGACAGTTGATGTTTTAAGCAATAGGTGTAGTGAATAAGCGGACAATAACATTAAACTAGTGCCTGTTAAAATTTACACAGTAGTTGAAAACCAAATTTTGTGATTTCAGAAACACAAACACGACTAAAGCTGTCAGAAAAGACAAGCAGCAGTGCTGGCGAGTGAGAAAATTATATTATTGTTAAGTGATGAATAGTTCACCTGCAGCGAACCTCCGCCGCCCCCCAGTGTACTCAATCGATAGAATAAATGGAGTTCTAAAGAAATAGCTATGAGTTTGGGCGACTGGAACAATGGAATTAGCCGAAAATAGGGCTCAAAGTGGGCGAAACGCCAATTGTAAACAGCGCGAGGTCGCTAAACTTTACAATGAGCGTTATAATTCCGTAAAGTTTTACAATCAAATTTCGTTTTTTTGGTTGTCATTAACAATCGGGGCGGGGAAGGAAAAGTTTCTCTATCATTTCATAAGAAAAAATAATTTTTTTTTTTAAATTTTGCGACACCAGGAGACACCTCAGGATTGGGGTTTGCGACAGTCAAAACAAGAATCAAACATTCTGCTTTGCTTCATTGAGGAAGTGGCAAGGAACCAAAAGTACTAGGTCGTTTTTCCTTTGTGCTGGGGGCAGTGATGGCGTGGGGTGCTGTGGCGTCTTCAGATTACTTTTGACTCTACTGAGAGTGACATGATGCCAGGATAACCACAGAGGAACGATATCTGTGGTTAGTTGATGAACAAAGTGTCTCCATAACCACAATTAAACACTTTCAGAGGAAGTGTGTGATCTGCTTCTTTAGTGATAAGATTGTGAACAATAAAGGACAAAGCTTGTGGTAACATAGTTGTACCAGAAGTGTGCGTATTCCTAGACTATGGAAGATCGTGGACATCACAAGGACATTCAGCTTCTATCATGTCACCGATCCTGTCGAGGTGTGAAGAAACACCATAAGATCACCCTCACAGAGCAAGGTAGGTTACGTTCATTTCTTGTAGTATGGGGGACTGTGCAGTTCTTGAGTCGCAAGGAGTTTGTAATCAACCTATAGTCAGCAGTAAGGTGCGGACTTTTGAGTCCAAGTACGTAATTTGTCAGCAATCAGTGAATGAAATATGCTGACATAACACCCCCTAGGGGTAATTTATAATCTTACAAATTATAACTCATTTCAGCCCATTGAGGAATGAATTCGACAGCTTCTCAAGACCTCGTCTGCAGGGGCAGCTGTGCAGGCGATGAGTTGTCTTTCTAAGTTAAGTTTTTCCCTATATTTAAACTTAGCTGATAACCATTTCTCAACAAGGAGGAAGGAGGAGGAAGGAGGGAGGAGTGGAGGAAGGAGGAGGAAGGAAGAGGAGGAAGAAGAGGAAGAAGAGGAAGAAGAGGAATAATAATAATAATAATAATAATAATAATAATAATACCTAATAATAATAATATGTAATATGTTCCCTTGAGGCATGAAAACAGTTCACCCCATGACAGTGACAAGATTAGGGGAGATAACATCTGATAAGAGCTGACCTTTGATGAGCGTAAACGAGGGTAGCAGCTGTCTATCTGTCTAGCTCTCTGTCTCAGAGCCAGGAGGAGGAGGAGGAAGGAAGGGAGGGAGGAGGAGGAGGAGGAGGAGGAGGGAGGAGGAAGAGAAGAAGGAGGAGGAGGAGAAGAAGAAGAAGAAGAAGGAGGAGGAGGAGGAGAAGAAGAAGGAGGAGGAGAAGGAGAAAAAGAAGGAGAAGAGGAGAAGAAGAAGGAGAAGGAGAAGGGGGAAGGAGAAGAAGAAGAAGAGGAAGGAGAGAAGAGGAAGGACAAGAGGAGAAGAAAGGGGAGAAGGAGAAGAAGAAAGAGAAGGAGGAGGAGAAGGAGGAGGAGGAGGAGGAGGAGAGGAGAAGGAAAGGGGGAGGAGAAGAAGGAAAGAGAAGGAGGAAAAGGAGGAGGAGGAGGAGGAGGAGGAGAAGGAGGAGGAGGAGAAGGAGGAGAGGAGGAGGAGGAGAAGGAGGAGAAGAAGAAGAAGAAGAAGAAGGAGAAGAAGAAGGAGAAGAAAGAGAAGGAGAAGAAAGAGAAGGAGAAGAAAGAGAAAGAGAAGAAAGAGAAGGAGAAGAATGAAGAGAAGAAGAAAGAGGAGAAGAAGAAAGAGAAGGAGAAGAAGAGAAGAAGAAGAAAGAGAAGAAGAAGAAAGAGAAGAAGAAGAAAGAGAAGGAGAAGAAAGAGAAGATGAAGAAGAAGAAGAAGAAAGAGAAGGAGAAGAAAGAGAAGGAGAAGAAAGAGAAGGAGAAGAAAGAGAAGAAGAAGAAGAAGGAGGAGGAGGAGGAGGAGGAGGAGAAGAAAGAGAAGAAGAAGACGACGACTACGAACAAACATTTGTCTGTCTGTCTGCCAAGCTCCCTGTCTATCCGTCTAGCTCTGTCTCAGAGAGAGCCACAAGACTGTGTCATCATCACGTTTACTCACATCTTCAAGCAGAGTATAGCACTTTGTCTGGAATTTTTGGGTTATCCTAGGTAATTTACACTATGTATACTTGTATTTATGTGTACCTGTGAGACAGAGATAGACAGACAGAGAGAAAGAGAGAGACAGATTGAAAGAGATAGAATGAGGGAGAAAGATAATTAGATAGAATGGAGGGGGGGAGCAGCATCCAACCCATTTTTGTGACAGGCGGTAGAGGGAGTGAGTAATGAGACAATATGTCATTTTGACAGCTGCCCACTCCTGAAATCAAAACAATTATAAGCCACACACTCGCACACAAGACAAGCTTGCTGAAGGGTGATAATAGCAGTTTTATGAAAGTATCTAGTGACTATATATGTGTATTATATATTTATAGAAACAAGAAGCAAGTAGGGAAGGCAGGAATGAAGGAAGGACTAGATGAAACGAAGGAAAAAAGTAAGGAAGGACAGATGAAGGAATGTAGGAAGAGAGGTGGAATGCCCTCCAGGTAGGAAAGGAATGAAGGAAATTAGGAAGGAAGGAATGATGAACACAACCATTTACCTAGGATAACTACATAACACAACTGCCTGCTAATACTTTGAAGAAAAAATGCTCAGACGAGGTTTTTGTCTTTGTACATAAAAGAAAACTTCCACAAAAATGCACAAAACATGATTTTATGTGTGAGGAGTGTAAAACACCACTGTGTATGACCCCCATGTTTTATGTGTGAGAGTGTAAAACACCACTGTGTATGACACCATGTTTTATGTGTGAGGAGTGTAAAACACCACTGTGTATGACACCATGTTTTATGTGTGAGGAGTGTAAAACACCACTGTGTATGACACCATGTTTTATGTGTGAGAGTGTAAACACCACTGTGTATGACACCATGTTTTATGTGTGAGGAGTGTAAAACACCACTGTGTATGACACCATGTTTTATGTGTGAGGAGTGTAAAAACCCACTGTGTATGACACCATGTTTTATGTGTGAGGAGTGTAAAACACCACTGTGTATGACACCATGTTTTATGTGTGAGGAGTGTAAAACACCACTGTGTATGACACCATGTTTTATGTGTGAGGAGTGTAAAACACCATTGTGTATGACACCATGTTTTATGTGTGAGGAGTGTAAACACCATTGTGTATGACACCATGTTTTATGTGTGAGAGTGTAAAACACCATTGTGTATGACACCATGTTTTATGTGTGAGAGTGTAAAACCCATTGTGTATGACACCATGTTTTTATGTGTGAGAGTGTAAAACACCACTGTGTATGACACATGTTTTATGTGTGAGAGTGTAAAACACCATTGTGTATGACACCATGTTTTTATGTGTGAGAGTGTAAAACACCATTGTGTATGACACCATGTTTATGTGTGAGGAGTGTAAAACACCACTGTGTATGACACCATGTTTTATGTGTGAGGAGTGTAAAACACCATTGTGTATGACACCATGTTTTATGTGTGAGAGTGTAAAACACCATTGTGTATGACACCATGTTTTATGTGTGAGGAGTGTAAAACACCACTGTGTATGACACCATGTTTTTATGTGTGAGAGTGTAAAACACCAGTGTGTATGACACCATGTTTTATTGTGCGAGGAGTGTAAAACACCACTGTGTATGACACCATGTTTTATGTGTGAGAGTGTAAAACACCACTGTGTATGACACCATGTTTTATGTGTGAGGAGTGTAAAAACACCACTGTGTATGACACCATGTTTTATGTGTGAGGAGTGTAAAACACCATGTGTGTATGACACCATGTTTATGTGTGAGGAGTGTAAAACACCATTGTGTATGACA